GGGGAGCCCTCCACCTGCACCTCCCTCCCGGCCAGCTGCCGCTCGGCTGCGGTGGAGCAGGTTGGGGGCTGCGCGGGGGTGGCTGGGCCCCGAGCAGGGACCGGACCCCCCGCCCGGGGTCCCAGGGGACCCCCTTGCGCTCCGGGAACCCATGCCTGGGAGCCACGAAAAGCCCTGCCCAGAGCACCCCAGAGCAGCTCTGCCTGCCCTTCCCTGGTCCCGGGGGCTGCTGCACCCTCACGTCGAGGTGCCTCCGTCCCAGAGAGACCCTGATGGCTGGGGCTGGGCCCCGAGCAGGGACCGGACCCCCCGCCCGGGGTCCCAGGGGACCCCCTTGCGCTCCGGGAACCCATGCCTGGGAGCCACGAAAAGCCCTGCCCAGAGCACCCCAGAGCAGCTCTGCCTGCCCTTCCCTGGTCCCGGGGGCTGCTGCACCCTCACGTCGAGGTGCCTCCGTCCCAGAGAGACCCTGATGGCTGGGGGGTAGAGGAGACCCCGCAGGGCGTGGGGGGGCCGCAACCTGCACTGACCTCCTTGGCTTTGAGGCGGAGATTCGCGCCTGCTGCCGCCGGGTCCCAGCAGAGTCTTTTAGGGGGTGAACAGCGGGAACCCCTCCAGCCCTGGTCCCTGGGGCCGGACCCCACCAGCCATAAGCTGGGAGAGGAGTGCCCAGCCCCTGCCAGCCGGGTCCCCCCGTCTCTGTTCTGGTCCAGCCGGGGTCTCGTAGGAGCACCTGCTCCAGGGCACCGGTTCGGACCCACCCTAAAGGCCGCTCGGCTTCTCCGAGGTTAGGGAGCAGCACTGGCATCAGGAGATGGGCACTGGGGCTGGCCTGGAGCCCCCCGCCCCTCGGTCCCAGCCTGGCAGCTGCAGGGAGGGCAGGAGGAGGCTGCGTGCCTCCGAGGCAGGGGGAGGCAGGCGGAGGGTCCTGTGCCGCGTCCTGACCGCGCTGTCTGTGCTGCAGGATTACATGCAAAACGTGCACGGCAAGGAGATCGACCTGCTGAGGACGACCGTGAAGGTGCCAGGCAAGCGGCTCCCGAGGGCGACTACGGCCACGGCCCCCAGCGCCAGCCCCAAGACCAACGGGCTCGCCAAGGAGCGGAGCAGCACGCAGTTCCCGGGGAACACTGGTAAGACCAGCGGCCACGGCCACGGCGGGCACCCGTGCTCCCCTTGCACGCTGGCTGCGCCCTGTCTAGCCACGTGGGCAGCTGACACGATGCACAAGGAGCCTGGTGCTCCCTGCCTGACAGCCCGTCGTGTTTTATGCACGGGGGCCTGAGTTTGTCCTGCTGACAGGCAGCGCTGGGCAAGGCTAGTCCTGGGGGTGGGGGCGGTCTGGGCGCTGCGTGCCTGTGGGCGCGCGGATGCACGGTGCAGGAGGAGCCGGTGCGTCGCTCACTGCTGTGTGGCAGCGAGGCCTGAGACACGGTCTGGCTGGGTGTTGCGGGGCTGGAGGGCAGGGGTCAAGGACGGGCCGCAGCGTCCACGCTGCAGAGGAGATGGGCTGTGCAAGTTCATTAGCAGTCGCTCGGGGCATAGCATTGTACGTTGCTCCGTGCTTGGGCATCGTGCCTCATCGCCGTCCAGGCAGAGGGGTCAGCAAGGCAGGGGCAAGTCGGTGCACCTCCTTCCCTTGCCGTCTGGCGCCAGCTCTGCTGCTTTAGGGCCTTGGTTTTAATGCCCTGGTCTGGAAAATGGTTTCCCTCTTGCGGTGAGGTGCGGGGACTGGCTGCGCCAGGGAGATGAGCACCGTCAGAGCGGCCAGAGCTGCCTGATGCTGGCAGGAAGGTGCTCGTTTCACAGGGGCGAGAAGAGGCAGTTTCTTAGGGTTTCGCTGAGTTGACTCGGGGCTGGGTGGGGAGTGGGCCGTGAAGCCACAGGACTGTGGGGGCTGCGGAGCGAAGGGGGCTTTGCTGGGTGCTGCCAGGCTGGAAAAGGGTAATGGGCTTTGCAGCGGGCAAAGGGGATGGAGGGCCAGAGAGCCCGATGCCGGCCCTGGACAGGAGGGTGGAGCCGCTAACGTGGGACCCCGTCGGCTGAGAGAACCCGCGTCTCTCCGGTGGAGCCCGTCTCATCGCGCCAGCCTTGGAGGGGTGACCGCAGGCTCGCTGACCAGTCTGGCAGCACGTGCAGATGGGGAGAGAGCAGCTGGTGGGTCTCCCGGAGCCCAGCCCCAGGCCGGCCGTTCCTAGCCCAGCTCGTCAGCATCCTCATCAGTGACCAGGCGATGCCAGAGCTTTGCTGGTGATGGTTTCAGATGGCGTGGAGGGGTGGGGTAGGGGTAACCCGACGGCAGGTGCTCGGGGGGGCTGCAGCCGGGGCCCAGGAGAGGAACCGGCTTGAGGCTGTGGGAGCCCGGTCCACCCTGCTTCTCTGGAGGAGGCCGGGGGGGGGGCCCGCCAGTGCCGCCCGCAATGGCCTCAGCAGGTGGCAGACGATGGCATCCACAGCCGGTCTTGAAAGTGCAGTTTCCTGGCAGCGCGGGTGATGCTGTCGCAGCAGGCGCACAGGGGCAGGGGGCTCCATGCAGGCCGGGGTCTGCAGCGAGATGAGACCTCTCCCTGGTGCCCACCCGGGCCTGCTTGCATGGGTGGGGAAGGTGACAGCCCCTCTGGCCCTGGACGCTGGAGCCGAACTCTTCCCTTCCTGGGACTGGGACGGGATCGCTGCATCGACATCTGCTCGCCAGAACATGCACGACTCGCCTCGAGGCGACGTGTCATCAGGGCTGCACGGGTCAGGGGGGATTTGTCCCGTGATGCACAGCTGTCCAGGTGCGTTGTGTGTGTGCATATGTTTACACGTGTGTGCACATGTTTCTCACCTTACTCTGACACGCTGGGGCCAAGGCACCGGGCCAGGTGGCCCAATCCCCTGAGGTGGTGAGGATCTCCTGCCTCCTGGCCGAGGTCTGGGCCGGGCCTGCTCCCATGGCTGGACCTCGCGTTGGGCAGAAGTCCCCGAACACCAGATTTGGGCCTGGAGGGAAGCTCTGCTCAGACTGGGCTGCAGTGGGAGGCTCTGGGAGGACTTTTGGGAGCTTTCTGGAGCGTGCAGCCCTCATTATGCTTCCCCCTTGGACCTGTCAGGCACACTGGCGTTGCGTCGCCATCCTCCTCCTTCATTTTGCAGCTTTCGCCTTCTTCCAGCATCGTGGTTTTTTCCATGGAGTGAGACAGGGAAGAAAATCCAGGCAGGGACAAGACTCGCTGAGCCCAAGTGCCGGGTCTATTAACAGTTTTTAGATCTAATTAAATGCAAATAACTAGCATTAATGCCGCATTAAGGCTGAGCAATCAAGCCCTTAAAAGTCAGGAAATTCCCCAAGTGAAGGTGCCTGCCCCGCGTTACCTCCGCTGCTCTGCACTTCTTGCTGGTGTGTTAACCACGAGCCGCGCCGCCTGCCGGGGCCATGAACAGCTGGCGCATTGGCATCGCGATCCATGCCCGGGGAGACGGGCAGGGGTCCTCCATCCTCCCCCTCTGCCATCCTCCCTCGTCCCCCAGCCGTGCCTGGGCTGAGCCGAGCTGTGGGGAGTGCTACCCAAGCCGCAGGCCCTGGTCGCTGATGGGGCACAACCATGACAAGCTGGCTCCACGTGGACCTGCGGTCAATAGACCCCTGGGCAGGCCCGGTGCGGCCCCACGTGGCCGACAGACAAGCCCCCGTGGCATTTGAGACCCGGTCTGCACAGGACGTGTGCCCCGGAGCCAGGGAGCGTCAGGACGCAGGTGCCCTGTGCGGCCGCACTGCAGACCCCGGGCCCTTGCAGCGTGGTCCTGGCTCCCACGACCGTGCTGGGATCTCGCGGCCAAGCCCAGCCTCACCCCTTGAGGTGCCCTTCTCCTCCGTACTCGGTGCATCCCCGGCCGGGCCCGGCTCCGGTGCTGCCCCCCAAGGGCTGCAGCTGCACCCCACGCCTTTCCTGCCTGGTGGCCCAGAGCTGAGGGCATGGCTGCCCTGTGCTCCCGATGCGGGACATGGCACAGAGATATGTGCCTGGTTGGACATCTCTGGACCCGGCTTTTCCAAAGCCGTCCATGCCCAAAGCGCCGTCCCTGTGGCAGATGGAGATGGGAGCACGCGGCGCTCCGGGACGTTGGCGCCCAGGGCACCGCGAGGGATGACCGGGAAGTGGCTGGTGGAGCTTGTGGGACCTGCCAGAGGCGCACACGGACCTGGTGCCGAGGCCGGGGCAGAACCCAGCAGCGTCCCCGCTTCCTCCTGCCCTCCCCATGTGCCACTCTGGGTGCAGGGCCCATCCCGGCTGCCACCAGAGCCCTGCCCAGCATGTGGGATCGTGACACGTGTGCTGAGCAGCCAGACCCCCGTGCGTGGGCCGCCTCCGTCTGGCGCTCCTGAACGGCAGGCGCTGCTTCCGATTAAGGCAAGTGTGAATGCAACTTGCTCGTGGCGCTGCATTGGCACGTCAGTAGGTCCCCAGTGCAGGTTCGTGTCCTCTGCGTAAGGAAGTAGCTGGTAGCAGTAGAAAGCTGTTCTCCTCTGCATGGACCTGGTGCTAGGCAGGGGCGAGCTGTGCCTGGTGTCGGCAGGTTTTGCAGCTGCTGCCTCGGCAGCGGAGGGATGCTGAGATGGGGGATGTGGGTGCCCGGCAGGTCCAGGCTGCGTAGGGGCTGTATGCACCGGTAGCAGCCCCGGTGTCACTGTCACCTTCTGCACCAAAGTCCCACCGCACCAAGTGGCTCCTCTGCTCCTGGACTCCCCAGCCTGTGCTCCTGTCCCCACCTGGCTCCCCAGCTCCAAGCCCCTCTCCCCTGCAGCCCCTGGCCCACCACCTTTCCCTCTCCCCCAGTCTTGCCCTCTGCGCTGCAGCCAGGTGGGTCCCTCCTTGCTCTCCAGCAAGGGAACCCCAGAGAGGGCAATGGAGAGGCTTCTTGCCAGGAGGAGCCCTCACTCAGCCCCGGGGATGGCGCCTGTGCCCAGGCGGGAGGTGTGCAGGGCTCTGTGCCACCCTCTGCCACATCTCTGTGCCTGTGCACGTGGATACTCCAGGGCTGATTGCACGCCCAGTTTCCGCAGGCCTGGCTGACCGCACGGCCCTGACCTCAGGGTGACCCCTGCCACGGGTCAGTGCCTGCCCAGAGCCGAGAAGGGTTAGACAAGAGCATGGTTGTCACGTCAGCAGGGTTTACCTGAAGCTGCAGGGTCCGTCCCCAAGCAGATGCTCTGCTTTGCTCCCTGTGCAGACGTCCAGTTTGTGCCATGCAGATGCTGCAGTTCGGGCCCTAGCAATGCCCACGGGACAGTCAGACCCCTCTCCACGTGCGGCCTCCTGCTCCTATCGTGACGGGGTCCCACGCTGCCTGTGTCCCTCGTTCCCCAGCGCTTCTCGGTTGCATCAGCTGGTGACGTGGGGGGTTTGCTTCTCGCCCCCTTCCCAGACCACATCCACACCAGCGCTGGGTCCAGGGGTTCGTTCTGCCAGCCCTTGGTCCTGTCTCAGCTGGTGCTGGGGCTGTGCCGGCACTTTGCCTTTGACTCTCGCTGTCTCGATGGTTTCCCAGGAAAAGCTGTTACAAAGGGACTTGGGAGTTCACGTGAATGATGATGAAATGCGCAGGCTGCTCAGAGCACCTCCGAGCATTACTTATCGCTGTCTCCAGCACCTGGCAGCAGTCCTGGAGCACTCCTGTGAACTGGGGGAACTGGAAGGATTGGGAACAAGCGGATGGAGGGAGCCAGTGCTCAGGCCAGGGCAGGACACCTGCTCCAGGGGTCTGGACTCTCTCCCGCAGTAATGCACCGGGTTAATGGCCCAGGCACCTCTGCTGCCGGTGGCTGCAGGCTGGCGGTCTCTTGGCCTGATTTCCGGCCGTGCTGGTGCCACGCAGCTTCCCCGGGCAGCAGCTGGAGCGAGCCGTGCCCGGCATGCCTGCCAGCCTGGACTGCGTAGTGGTGGGCACGTCCAGGCAGGAGGTCCCTGCGATGGCTAGCAGCACTGAGCAGCAATGGCCCGGGCCAGATGCACCCCGCTGGGTTTGTCGGGCAGCCACAGAGGGGACAGGGCAGCAACCCCGTGGCCAGAGACTCTCGGGCTTGGCTGGGAGGCACAGCGCAGGAAATGGGCCCGGGCACAGGAAGCGTCAGTGCCCAGTCGCCTCTGGG